AGTATAAGTTCACAGATGTTTGTTAAAATGTTAAAAGTAATAGAAATATAACTTTCAAAACCTAAGTAAAAATGAGCAAAACAAATCATATTTAAATATTTATTAAATGTTTAAGTGCCAAGTTCTGATAAAGCACTTAGCATGCGTTCAATCTTTTAGTCCTTACAATAACACTCAGAAATAGTTATTATATATTCATTTTACAGATGAAGAAATCTATACATAGAGAGGCTAACTCTCTTGCCAAAGGTCACAGAGATAAGTTGGGGGTGGGAGGGAGGCAAAATAGAAAAAATTGAAAATTTGACAATAGGAAATAAATTGAAAAAATATCTTCAAATTTATCGGTAATTGCAATACATATAAATGGGTTAAATTCATTGATGTATTGCATGGAAAAATTCAGCTATAGGTTATTAATAAGAGAGATATTTAAATAAAAAATAGCAAAGAAAGTTTGAAAATAAAGGTTGGAAAAAGACACGTAAACAAATTCCCCTAGAATCTAAGCTGACTTAAATTTGTTTGGCTAATAGAATGCAACTGAAGTGATATACAAGCTCATCAAAAGGCCCTGAAACTTCTACTTTTACTCTGTTGCTGCTCTGAGTCCACCATGTAAAGATGTGTGTCCATCATGTAAAGATGTGTGAGCTAGCCTTCTTGAGAATGAGAGATTATGTGGAGAGGGAATCTAGGTGACAGTAAGCACCAACCATCAGACATATGAGGGAGGTCATCTTGGACCACCTGGCCCACGCCAAGCCAACAGATGGTTGTAGCTACATGAATAATTTCAGTTGAAATCACCAGAAGAACCACCCAGCTGAGCTCAGAACAAAGTGCAGATATACAAACTCATGAACAAATAAAATGGTGATTATGTTAAGCCAATCAATTTTGGGTGGGTTGTTCTGCAGAAATAGCTAAGTGAGACCATTATCTATCATTTATAAAGACTTCTACTCATAAAAGTAAGCAGCCTGACTATAAAATGGGCAAGCAAGTCACAAAACAAGAAACACAATGTCTGTTGACTTGATTCAAAACTGGAGGAGGTTTGTTGATGGATTGGAACTAGGACTTGGGCTCTACAGTCAGTCTGCCTGGGTTGGATTCCTGGTTCCCTGCCACCACAACTGTGTGGCCTTGGACAAGTTACCTAAATCTCATCAGTCCTCAATTTTCTCATCTATGAAATAGGTATATAAATGCTTTCTGTCCCATAGGCTCATTGTAACTTTACTTGTATTAACTACAAATAAAGTATGCCTTTGCTCCTACTGCTGTAAGTGGCTCTGATGAACTCTTGAATCCAAAGCAATAAATACAAGAAACTAAGCTGTTCTATAGAAGGCAGTAGAGGAATAAAAGAGGGAAGGTGCTCATAAAGATGGCAGTTAGGAGATAGAGAACAAAGACATTTCAGACTTTGGTTTGCTTTAATGTTATTGCAAAAATAATCAATTTGGTGTTTTATATAACACTTGCTTAAATTTCACTGCCTTAATAGTTCTAGCTTTACTACTAAAATTTGTAGAAATTCGTGATTCTGAATCTAACTGGGATTTTGAAGAAAGGCAGTCATTTGAATTTCAAACAAAGAAGATACAATTATTATTATTATTGCCTATGGATTCTATATTTTGGGGTATTCTGTCTTCTACATGTCTTTAATTATATACAATTGTTTTCTCATTATTATTAATTAAAGACATATGGAAGAACTAATCTGAGCATCTGAGCAACATAAGACAAACATTTCAATGAGAAGATAAGATTTCATTTAAAAGCAAAAAGAAAATTGATGTTTACATGCATTTTTTGCAGCTATTGTGGACAACTGTACACTTTTTATTAGATGTTTTTAAAATATTGAAAACAGTACAAAGACTAACATCATTATTTTTGTAAGCTAGTTAACCAATAGAGATAGTATGCTCAAAGCATTTTACTGCCACCTTGTAATGTCATACCTATAGTATAGGAGCAGTCATTTACAGAGTCAAAAATGTATACCCTAGTATGCCGAAATAACCAAAAAAAAGTTAGATCATGTTTATATAGATATGTATGTATGTATATAAAAATGTATGTATGTGCATATATATACATATATGTTCATATTTGACACAGTGAGACTGTCAAGATGAATTTGGAAATGTAAACTGTTAAAAAGCTTTCTCTGTTTTGTAGGCAGCATGATTTTACCAAGAACTTGCACTAAAAGAATGCTTCAAATATTTTTACACTATTAAATAACAAAAGGAAATTAAGAAGCTTCTAGCTGTGCAACTTTGGGCAAGTTACCTAACCTCAGTTTCTCCATTTGGAACAGGGATAATGATAGTGCCTAATTCATGAGATTTTTGTGAAGATTAAGAAAGTTAATATATGTAAAGTGATAAGAATAGTGCTTGCCATGTAAAAGGCACTTAATAAATCTTAGCTATTATTGTTGTTATTCTTACTACTGCTTTATTGGGTGTCTTTGATATGTCCAATCCACCAAATCTTAAGAATGTGTCTCTTTTTAAATGATCCCAAATATACTATAATTTTGGTTAATAAACTCACCATTGTGTATTTCTGACTAAGCCAACCTTATATTTTAGAATGTTTTAAGGTGAAATAACAACAAAAATAATGTATAAGGACTGATTAATTTTCTGGTTACAAAGAAGGATTTTAGTAGCTTAGGATATCACAGGGCCAACAATTATATATGAAGTTTAAGACTTGGGTTTAAAAAGTCTGGTAAAAAGAAAGAATACAATGTCCAAAGTTTTGTCTTCAAATGCACCTGCTACTAGAAAATTCACTTTCTGGGGCCTGCAAACGACACACTAACAAATGTCTTTTGCAGACCTCCTCACTTGGCAGAACATACTCTCCTCATTTGAATGGTAATGCCTTTGGAGAGTCCGAGGGCCAAAGAAATCACTTGGGTCAGGAAGAATATAAAACTTTTATAATAACAAATTACAAAAGAGAGTAAAATTATGAACTACACTGTTAAACTCATCATTCTGCTTGGATAAGTGTGTGCATTTCGTGGACAGTATAACTGAGCACTATTACAAGATAAGCTGAAGCTGGTGGATTAGCAGCTACTTGGGACCCAAGATATTTCTAGGAGCATAACTCTTTCTAAATCCCCCATTTCTTCTGCCCTCTTGGGGCAGTTCTTCAGCTAATGCCCCTTTTGAGAATTCAATCCACTTCCCTTTTAGAGTTGCCATTTCCACAAGCTGCTTCTCTCATTACCTTACTGTTCAAGCGGAAAAGGCCAACCCCAGGTTATTCTAATGATAGCAAACACCTCATAAAGAAACCTGCCAAATTTACTTTTCCACAGAACATCATTTTTATGACTTTTCATGAGTCCATGAGGAAAGAAAGCATCATGTATAAAATATGACCTCCAGAAATCTTGAAGATATTAAGAATTATCCCTACAGGGTTAGATCGGTGGGTGTACCAGTCTGTAGGATGGTTATATGTTCAATTTCCCCACAGGAATTCCATCAATGTGTCACTGTACCTTTTTACCCATAAGAGAAGATGAGAGATGCCCACAAAGTTAAGACATTTTTAGAAGGTCCCCCAATTTAAAAGAACTTTAAGCTTTGGGGTGTGTTCTTTTCCATTCCTGGTTTTGTATTTGTGTGCAGGGATCACCTTGCTTTAGTCTATAACACCCTGGCAGAGACAAAACTTGGTATAATTAATCAAGAGTTTGGCATGTGCGAACATCGGCAAGTTTCTTAACCTCTGTACCTCAGTTTTCCAATCTCTAAAGGGGGGATATTAAGTGCATGGTGTCTCATAGGGTTGTGATTAAATTAAATGGGTTAAATTCTGTCAAGCACTTAAGACAGTAGCACATAGTAAGAACTATAGAAATGTTAAAGTGAATTCTCTCTTTAACAGTAAATTTTTCAAAACAAATTGCATGAAGATGTAAAAAATGAATTAGTAGAGGCAAAGGACTATAAAGTCCTTTGGGAACAATGCTTATTTCGACATTGCAGAGTAAAGAGTTTTAGAGGGGCTGCTTCCAGGAGGAGGTTTTAGGAGCCAGAGAATCCCCACTGCCTCCTGGGAAAATCCCTGCTCATTTCTACCTGAGCTCATTTTACAGTTGTCACACCCCTAGACCCAAGGAAAACCGCTTTCCAAGGGAGCAGCAGGAAATCCCTACCTGGGCAACCCTTTACTCAGAAACCAGAACTCGCATTGCATCCGACTGCCCGCTATGCCCTCCCCAGTAGCGACCCCTCTCCTGCCTTGGAGCTGAAATAGATCAACAGAATCCCATTCCTAAGGCGGCCTTCAAAGAGGAAGATACCTGTAAGTCTTTGCTACAAGTTTAAAAGCACAGATAACCCTGGCCCAAATCACCACAGGTGCCTTAATCTCTGGGCCCTCCTCATGACCAAGAGGGCACGCAGGGGGCCTCCGCACACAAGTCACAGGAACAGCGTGGGCGAGGAGTGGATGTCTGCTATTCTCCTTGGGAAATTATGTCCTGATCTTTGGCATTGCTTCCTGAAAGGCAGGCTCACCAGAGTTCTTTCTTCCAAACATACGTTAGGGATATTGTCCTATAAGGTCTCCTTGCGTCCCCTGCCCCGCCTCTAGTAGCATTATTCAGCCTTTAAAGGGCAACCTAAGACTGGCAGCTCCACCAAGCAAACACATTCTCCACACTTCTCTGCTCATCCCAAGCCTCGCCTCCCCCACCCCCCAGGTAACTGACCTGCGACAGACAGATCTGGAGGGTGCGTCCAGCAGACCTCCGAGCCTGCTCCAGCCTCCGGGCACATACCCCCGCTCCACCTCTACCTAAGTCAAGTCGCCTGGGCAAAGCTGCTGCCAAAACAGTTGCTCTTTGGTGGGGCTGGGGACCCGCCTCCTCGCATCCGTCAGGCGCTAGCTCAGCACCCCGCCACCCGGTCCCCGCTGCCGCACACGCCCCTGTCCACCGGCGCACTCACCTGCAGCTGGGCTCTGCTGGCGTTGCCCGCGGCCCCGTCGGACCCGTCGGCGGCTCCCGAGCTGCGCAGCACGGTGATGTGCAGTGTGAGCAGCAGCAGCCCCAGCAGCAGCAGCAGCTCGGCCGCCAGACGCACCATCCTCTTGAGGCGCGCGGCTTTAGGACCCGGCGCGGCGGGCGGCGGCTGCGGTGGCGCCGGGGGAGGAGGAGTAGGAGCCCGGGAGCCCGGCAGCGCGGCTCCCGCCTCGGCCCCCGCCGGGGCCCCGCTCCCCGGGCCCGCGGGGCTGGCGCTGGGCGCGGCGGGGCGCGCCGGGCCGGGGGAGCAGGAGCCGCCACTGCCACCGCACCACGGCGGAGCCACCGCGGGGCCGGGCGTGTCCAAGCCGGCTGCGGAGCAAGCCCCGGCGCTGCCCGGCGGCGGCAGCGGGGACGGGGACCGGGGGCTGCCCGGGCCCCGGGCCGGGCCGGGGGCCACCCTGCGGGCAGGGGGCTGCGTGGTCGGCGGCGGGGCGGGCGCAGCCGAGCCCCCAAGCGCACATGGGCGCCCCAGATGTGGCCGCGGCGCCGCAGCTGGAGCGGGAGCGGCCGCCAGAGGAGCGCGGGGAGGAGGAGAAGGAGGAGGAGGAGGAGGAGGAGGAGGAGGAGGGCTTCAGCTGCGGCCCGGAGTTACCTCCACGCTTGGCTCCCCCGCCCTCGCCGCCCCCAGCCACTCACCCGGCAAGCCACCTCCACTCCTCTCCGCGCTCCTTGGGGCCGCCGGCCGCGCCGCCCCGCACTCGGAGTCCCGGGGTGGGCAGGCTCCAGATGGGAGCCCCGGGCACGCGGAGGTTGTTACTTGGAGGTGGCCGGGGCACCCCTCCGGCGTCTGCGTCCGACTGCCGGGCTGTACCAAGTGCGCGCTGCCGAGGTCGCTGTGGCGGGCGAGGGCAGAGCCCTGTGCGCACTGAGGCTCGGGGCTGTGGTGGGTAGGGGGTGCCTGGGCGAACTGAGAAACCTTTATTGGCAAAGTGGAGCTGGAGTTGTGGTGATGGAGAACCGAAGGGGCGCCGGACAAGCCAGGTGACTGTCTGCGACTGTGCACCCCTGCCTGAAGCAGGCGACGCAAGGGGGGAGTGACAAAGTGTCGTTCCGGAAGGGTCTTGACACTTGCTCCTGGACCCTGGACCGCCCGATAGCTGCGCACTGCTGCTCGCGCGTCCGCGGCGCCCAGCAGAGCCAGGGCAGGGAGGCGGGTCGGCTCCGCGGGGCTGGGTCTAGTCCAGCGCGCAGGTGTCGCGGCGGGAAGCTGCAGGCGCGTGGTGTCCGCGGCTCAGGAGCTCAGGACGTACGTGGGGCACTTGGGGGTGAATTTCACCTCTGGCAGTCTTGGATCTGGGGGGCTCATCCCGGGGGTGCCGCTCCAGGAGGGGATTTGGGGGCTGGCGTCGCGCAGCCGTCGCTCCAGGGCCACCGCCTCATGACCGCGCTGCAGCCTCTGGCTCCCGCGCGCTGTTCATGCCTTGCAGGGGGCAGTTGGCGAATGGAAGGACTCGGGGATCGAGCTGAGGGCGTGGGGTCCTCGCCTCGGATGCCAGAGGGAACTGGGTCCCGCGATGGGCTCAGGTCACCGTCGTAGCATCGCGCGTTTCCCTCCCTCTTGATCTTGCTCTGGCTCCCGCCTTGCCGAAGTGGTTCTGAGTGGTGGACGCTCAGCGTGGCTGGGGCCTTTTATACTGTGTTTCCTCCGCCTCCCACCCCTTGTTTCCTCCCTCCCTCCTCCCCCGCGCTGCGGGCCCAGCCCTTCCCTCCCAGTGAGCCGAGCCCCAGTCTGGGCGTTCGCACACGTTCATTTCGCGAACGTCCAGGGCTGTCTCGCATCCCGGATCACGGTGCCCAGGGATGGAGCCCGAGGATTCTCCCTTGGTGAATGAAATTAAACAAACAAAACTTTCTTGCCAGCACGTTCCCCACCAACCGCCACGCCCCCAATTTTCTGCCCTCAGCGTGCTAGAAACCGATGTAAAATTCTTAATTTAACTATCTTTCGAGTTTACATCTTCTTCGCGAGGCACCTCAGCCAAGTCCTACCGAATGAAGACAAATACTTGCACAGTTACGGAAGTTCCTTAGATCACCGGCACTTTGCAGAATTTAAATAGCGGTGGTTAAGGGATGGTGTGCTTGCTGCTTGGGCTCATTTGTGTCTGGGAAAAGAAGGGCTAACTGACTCCATAAAGATGCCTGAAGCATCTTTAAAATTCTAACTAGCTCCAGCATCTTATTAATAAACTAGCAGCTGTTTATAGGGCCCGTGGTATCTTTTCCTTTTCAGTAGTTTTTTAGGGGGGAGGGTGGGAGGAAGAAGGGGCAGATGTCTGGAGCAGGTACTTGCTTTGGAGTTTTAGGCAATGGGTCCAGTCACACATCTTATTTTCATCTGTCTCCAGGGCTCTAAAATGCCAATAATTGTCAGCTGGAGCGCTGGGGGCGCGCGAGGGGGGTGGGAATTTGAAACAATAACCGTCAATAGTTCAGATGGGAGATCAAAGAGGGGATCCCGGCAGCTTTTAAATCCCACAAGGATCCTCCTGTGTGTTTTCTAATTAGGATCACTTTAAAGGGTTAGGGCGGGAGAATCCGCTCAGAGATGGGACATATAAATTAAGATGGTAAACTAGATTCCTGTAGCCAAAGAGAGTTTAAGGATGGCTCTCACCCCCAGTTGTGCCAGATTGCGATGTGGGCGCACAGGGACAAATGACTTTCCTATTGCCGGAGGCGGGCTGGTCTAAATTAGAAGCCAGGGGCTTCTGTGTGCTGCCTTTTCATCACACACAGTCCCCACATGTCAGCCTCAACCGCCTTTCCTCTCATCTAAAAGTCACAGTTTCAGACCTAAGGAAAAAAAAAATGACTTTTAAAAAACTCTGGAAAGAAACCCTTGCCATGAATGTACATTCTTGTAAAATTGTAAATGGAGATTTGGAGATCAAAGTCTTTGTAAAATGTTGTAAAAATTGTAAATTGAATTTTGGGGGCAGATGTCTTTGTAAAATGCTGAACGAATGTATGAAAGAATCCTATTAAAATCTCTTCATGCTGAGAGATCCGAATTCCAGGTGAGTTTATGTCCAGTGAGCACATATGACTAGTATTGATAAACACCCATGCTCTAGGACTGAAGCTGCCAATCAAGCCTGCCAGCAGCGCTCTGCTTTTGAGGAGTTAAGGAACACCGGCTTACAATTCTTGTGGAAAAAGAATTACAAATTTAGTAGCCACCAATTAAGTTTCAGGCACATTTATGAAATTGTACCAATAGCTAAGGAAAACTCTGCCTCCTTCTGTAGAGTTCCCACAGCACCCATTCATATCTTCATTATTGATCTTACTATATCCAAGTAGAATGTGTCTATTCGCATGTCTGTCTTCCCACCAGACCTGGATCAGGATCACCTTTGTGGTAGAATATCCCAGAGCATTCCTCCCCTACCCCCTAGTATCCAATTTTCTTCCTGGGTTCATAGCTAGCAGACGTCTTCCACTCACACTTGGATCTAGGTGGGACAGTGAAGAGCTCTGTTCCTTCCACGTCTGACCATAAAGCATCCCGAGTGATTTTCTACATAGGCTCTTTCTTTTCAACATGGGAGGAGTGAAAACCTGAGTAACTACTCAAAAGAGAGCCATTGGGCTAGGAATATCTGCATTTAACCTTGTGCAAGTGAGGTAAACTGTTGTTCGAAGACACTGATTTGGGGATGTTTGTTCAGCAGCTGGTGTTATCCATCCTGACGAGTACAATCTCTGAGACAGGGACAACTGCTTTATCATCACTATATTTCTAGAGCTGAGTACAATGCCTCGCATACCGTAGTTGCTCAATCAACGTTTTTAAAATGAATGTAACAAATCTGATGTTTGTTTAGACCCTAATTAATAAATTAACTCTTCTTAGAGTGCTTGTACTATAGGTGTCTGACATATGAATATATTCTCTCATAGATTTTATCTTTTATGATTAGTCCCACTTATATTACAGGCAAGCTTATTTGACTGGAATATTTGGAGAATGTACGAAAAATAAACAACAAGCCAGGACACCTATAGTTAATATCATTGAAGAGAACCTTGTGGTCTATTATGGTCAGGATTTTATTGTTTTTATTTTAATTTTTTACTAAAGGCTAAGGTAAGACAGCAAAGAATAGTTTCAGTGTAATCTTTATTATTTTTTGCAGGAGTACTGTGTTGAGAAATCATCTTTAGAAAACCTTTTTAGTATAGAACAAAAGTAAAGAGAACAATGTAATGAATGCTCACATACTCATAAACCAGCTTCAATAAGAGTCATGGCCGATCTTGTCTCATCTATAATCTCATAAAGTTCCTCCCTCTCAGGTTATTTGGAGCAAATTCATGACATCATATCATTTAGAAAACATATATATTTCAGTATATATCTCAAAAAAGTAAGAGCTCAATTAAGGAATATTTTTTTAACACGTGCACATTGAATGTGAGTTGTAAAATAGAATTGAGAAGTCAAAACTAGAGACTTTTTTTCTGGGTGTAAAAATGATAAGCATTTAGAGATTGTTGTGGTGGAGGCTGTTCTGTGTTCACCAAAACCTGTTTCCTCTTCTTCCTGGACTTACCAGTAGACTACATTTTTCAATATCCTATGCATTTAGGTGCAGCTGTGTGACTGAGTTCTGGCTAATGTGGCTGGAATAATGTGGGCCCCTTCCAGATCTAGCCCATAAACATTTCCTGTGCGTGATCCTCTCTCTTTTTCCCTTGTCTGCTGGCTGAATGTTTTTCTGCCCTGGGTGACCTTAGAGCAATGATCAGCCTGGGTCCCTGGAGCAGATCCCCTACCCAACCTCCACCTCTGTCTGAGAATACCCTGGCTGGGCTATCGCACGACTGAGAAATAAACTTTTTTTAAAAATGCGTTAAGCTGTTAAAATTTTGGGGTTTGTTACAGGAGCTTGCATTGCCCTAACTAACACAGGGGATGATACTCTGAGAGCGAGGAGTGGCAAATTTTGTTTTTTAGAGAGCCAGATAAGAAACATTTTTGTCTTTGTAGGCTATAAGGTCCCTTCTGCAACTACTCAACTCTGCTGTTGCAGTGGGAAAACAGTCAGAGAAAAT